TCAGACATATAAATAAGTCTAATTAATTTTATTTTGTAATGTATTGTTTGTTTTATAACTCATCACAGATAAACAATTCACAGTGAAGAACTTTTCCCAATTTATTTTACGTTCTTAAAAACAAATGAGAGTCAGCAAATGAAACCGCTTCAAGGCCGTGCGACAAAGATGGACACCAGGAGGCAAAGCCACAGTGGCGGAGACAGCGTTCCCGCAGGAGAGGCGTCCGATCGCTTAATCGAGTGATAACATTTACCCACGTTACCAACTTTATCCACAGCTACAAACTCGACAATCTGCGAGCAGCAGGAGGCGTTATAGTGTGCCTCGATGTTGGGAGCAGTCAGTGATGAATGTGAAAGGATTCCAGCGCCCTGTCGCAGGGAGATCCTCTCTATCCCGGTGCCGTTTCCATCCGTAAGGTTAGCCGAGAGCTCCCACTGGAAATGTCCACACTGGGACTGATCTTCAGGACAATCGTCAGCGAAGACATTCACCACTTCACACTGTGGCTGCACAAAGTCTGTAATCTGGATGAAATAGAAGAAACATATTTCTGCACTGTGAGATGAATCATTAAAATAAATTTCACATCTGAATAACATAACTATTATTGTGATTGAGCATTCCATCTGAGAGTTTTTCAGAACGTTTTGGGCCAATTTTGCTTAAAATGCTCTTCACATACCGATGGCAACCAATAAATTAAACGTTTTGTTAAAAGACTTAAAAAATTTAATTGCCTCGGAAAAGTAAATGGTAAATGGCCTGTATTTGATATAGCGCCTTCTAGAGTCCTGGAACCCCCCAAGGCACTTTACAACACAATCAGTCATTCACCCATTCACACAATCAAGTAAAATCCTTGAAAAACCTCATCCAATCCAATCTGGTCCCCCTTCACGACCCATCCATCAACCTCTCTGAGCGCTCGTCCTCAACAGAGCAGCCGAAATGTGTGTGTGTGCGTGTGTGTGTGTGTGTGCAGGCAGACTGGATGCAGTTTGATTCGTGTTCAAGATGATTTGATGGTGGTATGGATTTTCCAGGTGGCGCTCAGTGGTACTCTGTGGCGCTGAGCTCTTGTAATTTTGAAGTTAGGGTTAGAGTTATGAACTATGAATAGCCCTCTACTTATGTGTGTGTTGCAAGCGTTGTATCGGCGTTGCAACCATCAGAATCTGTGACTCTGGGGGTCAAAGATGAAACCAAGTTTTGGTTAACATTTCATTTCTGCTTTATGGAAAAAAGCAAAATAAATAAATAAATACACGTTTTCAATCATTAAGAAACTGGTGTAGAAAATACAGCTGCTGACCTGACAGACCTGAGGCCGAACAAAAGTAAAACCTCATTCAAACGTAAAAAACACAAAGAGCCAGTAAAATTTACTCATTTATATCTGAAGGAACTTGGTTATCCTACTTAATACAATCTTGGTCCTTTTTAAAAATCATTTGTCTTTAACTGAACTTAAAAAATTCTGTAAAGATATTTTAAAAACTAAACTCCATTCGTATGGTGTCCCCCAAGGTCCTGTCTTAGGCCCAAATGCTAGAGGTAATCAACCAAACATTTTTAAGGGCCTGACAGCTTTTATCACTTTAAGTTGCCATGTTTCAGGTAATGAAGAAAAATCCTGTCTGCTGTCATAAATAGTTGACCTTTGCAATACAAGCTTTGACCTGACATCCATGTTAGGAGAGAAGCACCAAAAAGATGAACTTGGCGTTACCTTGGTGACCACAGACAATCTCAGGATGACATAATTGGAGTCAGCGCCACTGGACGATTTGGCGTCAATCGTCAAAGTGACATCTGTTCCTGATTCGGTACTGGCAGGTGGTGTAATGGTTAACGTAGCATTTCCATATTGTTCCGTCACCAAGACAAGGCTGGGGAGTGAGGAAAGAAAACGTACTTTTAAAATTACACTTAACAGATTTTTTTAAACTTATATATGAGGCAACCAAGGGATTGTCTGAGAAAACAGCTTTGGGTCGTTTGGCCATTTGAGTGGAATTACAATAAAACTTTATTCTGATAAGAAAATAGGGATATTTAGCCCTAGTTTCCGGGCAAAAACAGGGATTTAAAGTTAAAGTGCCATTGGTCATCAACACACACTGGTGAAATTTCATCTCTGCATTTAACCCATCCCCGTGTGGAGAGTGGTGAGGTGCAGCAATGGCTGTGCTTGGGAACTCTTTGATGGTCTAAACCTCCAAATCTGACATGTAATTAAAATTAAGCAAGTAATGATGGTGAAAAACTTTATGCTTCACATCAAAAGCTTACCTATTAACATTTAACAACAGAATAATTTGTAGCGTCTTCCTCTTACCTGTCTGGGAAAGTCATGGGAAAACCTTTGTCATTTCTGGCATTGATGGTGTATGAGCCACCGCCTCCCTGGGTCATCACATGGAAGGGAACCATCAAGGTTTTGCCAGGCTCAACACTGCTGCTCACCAGAGCCTGGCAAAGAAAGAGAAAACAAATGAGTGGCAAATGTCTTCAACCCTCCCACTGTCCTAATGGGTGTGACCCCACAAGGAAAGTTGACCATTGAGCAGGGTTGATGGTTTATCCCTTGGGTCCACGTGGCAGGGGTGAGGAGTGAGCACCACATCACCCTTGCCACATGGACCTCAAGGGATAAACCATCAATCCTGCTCAATGGTCAACTTTCCTCGTGGTGTCACCTATTAGGACAGTGGAAGGGTTAAACATGAGGATTTAAGGGGGGGCACAGACCTGGATGTGAAGCTTAGAGACGGACATCTGTGTGGTTGACTGCCTCTGAAATTCGCTGTTGGACAGCTTGTCCAATCCTCTCAGAACAACCACAAACTCTCCCTCTGGAACTTTATCCACAGTGACCAGGATGTCTCCTTTGCCCAAGTCAGTCATTGAGCCGTTTGTAACTTCATCACGACTAGACACTATCAACAGGCCGATGTCTTTAACAGTCACCGAAGAGGGTCCTTTTCTGCCAAGTACTGAAAGCATCAGGGTGGCAGGCTGGCCTGGTTTAAAAAAAAAAGTATTTCTATCAATTTTATTTTATTTTTTTTCAGTTTATTTCCTGTTCCAGTCATAACAGAGCTGAATATGTAACTCTGAAACATTGTCAAGTATAATTCTGATTGAGTCATGAAAATATCAAACCACTTGGAGACAGTGCAGCGTACCTGCTTGTGGACGCCCACTGAGAACTGCATAACCCGAGTGAGGTCCACCGAACTTTTCCACAAAGTCATAAATGAAGGTGATAGTACTCTGGCCTGGGAACAAAAGCACGTGTAGTTAGTACAGAGAAAAAAGCTTCGCATTCATCAGAGACCTTCTTATTGCCTGCTTCCTTCCATCCTAAAATCACATTATGCTGAGACAGGATGAAGTCGTAGTCATGTTGGTTAAACCTTGACAAAAAAAAACAACAATGCATTGTTTCTCGAAAAATTGCAAGAGATTGTGACCAAAACTGTCAACAGAAAACACAATTAAAGGTCTGTTCACATTGACGGGACCATGGACGTAATTTTCACTTTAGAAGTGTGTGTGTGTGTGTGTGTGTGTGGGGGGGGGGGTATCTTTACAGTATGTTCTAATGGGAAACAGGCTTCAACACAAACGGTTGTTTTCTGCTTGGTCCTAGACCTCAACCAGTGTCAATTTAATATAAAGTAATATTGTTTTTCAATGGTAAAACATGCAGGGGTAAAAGCTTGACTTTGGAAAGAGTGGGGGTGGGGGGGTGGGGGGCATGTCCCCCCCCCCCCCCCAAAAAAAAAATTACATCCATGGACGGGACAAAGGAACCGTAACTGACCTGTGACTTTGAGTGTGTACGGATGGGCCGATCCAATTCTGATCTGCCAGGTTCCTGACTGCTTGTCAGGATTGAGACGAATTCTGTTGAGGTTTCCTACCGTCTGAATCACTCCCAGTTTACCTTTAGCCTCGTCATAATTCTGGCTCACTCCTTTAAAAATGCAAAATGCACCAATTATTATTTCAAAAATCCCTTTCTCCTGGTCAACTGCACTAGGCTGGATTAAACAGTTACCGGCAGGGTTGGTCAGTGTAAAAGTTATAGATGACCCTGTGATGTAGATTGTGACAGCTTTTAGTGATTCGTCAAGCATGAAGGGGAAGGTTTCTGCCGTATCTCCTTTCCAGGCTTTGTGGAGAACCGTAACCTAATGGAGAGTTGGAACAAAACAAAACGGATGATTTATCTCAGATTTCCTTTCACCAGAATCCCACTGCCTGACCCAAAGGCACAAGGCCTTCCCTTTAGCTCCCGGCCTAAACAGCAACAGACAGGCATAAAATCTGGAAGCCAACAAAATGTCCTCCAAGGTCCGTCTCCTCTCACCTGGAACAACTCAAGCAAATAAAAGGTCCTACCACTTTTAAAGATTTGGGCACCAGTGCCAGTAATATGTGTCGAGGTGAATCCACCTATGGCTGGACCGCTCAGCTTCTTCCACAAGCTCCAGTCCCTTCACAGCCAGAGGTGATGTTCTTTGTCTAAAATACCCGGAATTTTGGAATCTCGGGATGCCCAAAGGGTTCAAATGAAGGCAACTGGACTTCTTTGGTTTCTTGAAGACGTTTAGCTTTTCATCCAAGGAGGTTTGTCAATTCTGACTGGAATATGGGAGAGTTGTGCTCATAAACTGTAGCTGTCATGCAAAATGAGCAGAAACTAACTATTAATACCCCTCACCCTCTGGATAGTACCGCTAAAGCCTCTGTCTTGTTATGTATCAGGTTATCCACAATGCACCAAACCCTTCGTGCTCCTGGTATCCCTCTAGGATAGGTGCTCTTTCTTCCATGAAAGGTCTGTCGAACTGATCTGTTTTGCTCATCATATAGGAGGAGACTGTAGCAGGGAAAAAATGCCCCCAGACGACATAGTTACGCTCAAATTCCTCCACTGGAACAAGCCAAAGTGTGGAATTGTGAGAAAAATGCCTAACATTCACATGAGTGTAACACAAATGTAGCCATTCATTTGCAATTTCAACATAGACGATAGTCGTATAATTACCCATTTGAAACTGTGACAGAAAATACGCATACTTATTTTACCATTGCCAACAGTTGCAGCCCAATGATAATGAGTTCATTGCTTCGATTAAAGAAAGCCTACATTAACAGAATCTTACCAGGGCAGATGTTGATGTGTCAAGGATAACATCTGTGGCCTTAGGCAGCTCAGCCTTGGACACTTGGATGGCCTGGCCTCCAGATGCTACAGCTAGATCCTTGTAGTCTTCAAAGGAAGCAGCTGTGACTGAACGACGACGCCTTCCATAGGCTATAGTCATAAAGAATGACACCTGAGAGGATAATTCAAAGAGATTAAACCAACTTCAGCCTTCTTAGATTGAGTGAACATTGATCACTCAGTAGAAGTCCATATTTACCGTGGATTTGGTGCTTCTGATGAGGGCCGTGATGGTGTCTTTTAGTGCGATGTCCTTGGCTATAGCGTCAGTGAAAACATAGATGTAGGATGAGGAAGGGGCTCCAGTGAGAGCGAGCTAGAGAATGAAGGTTCAAAATCAGCATCGTTGAATCCACCATTTAAGGGTGTAATGGGGCACCTAAAGTCCCAGTTCAATAAGTACCGTGGATTAAATTTTTTGGTTTGGTCTGTTTTCAGTACATTGAGGAGACAAAGTGCAAAAAAGGTAGAGCTTTAAATGTGCCCTTCACTTGTATTTTAACTCATTCACTGCCATTGACGACTAAAGTCGTCCTTTTAAATCCAACCGTTCACTGCCAATGACGACTTTGACGACTAAAGTCATCATTTGCACTTAATTACTTTGTGGACATCGGAACGAGCCCTCGCACCGTGAGAACAAACATCTCAGCTCTAAAGCTGATCTTCATCCGCATACGTCACACGTCACGTGATCAGGAAGCAGAACATCCACGTGTTAGGAGATCGTTTTGGGCCGCTGCTGTAAAAAAAGCGAGGCACCAACCAGAAAAGTTTCTGCCGATCACAACTCAACAACGGATTCTGAAAGAACGGATAAAGCTCGAAACGCGCGGATTCTTCCTGAGAGGCGAGTCTCCGCTTTGTTTGGGTTGTTTTGGCGTCGACATCATGCTAGCGCTCAACATTCTGTGACTCTTAAAAAAACGTAAAAACGGTGAGAAACGCTGGCAGCGAAGGGCTTTAGCGATCAGGAAACGGCTGGCAGTGACTGAGTTCATACGTTTGCAGTGGTCTGTAGGAATGAATGCCTTGTAAGTCGTACTCTGGGGGGAAAGCTCGGGTGCGCCTGTTTCCGCACAGAGAATTCAGCTCGAGGAGACAGTGACTGTTTCCTGATATCTGGAAATCTCACCTCTGATTGGCTAACAGCAACGTGACTCTACCACTGACCTGTTCACTCTGCAATGTTGATTTTTCTTTAATCTCAACAAATGACATAAGCCTGGAGGAGTTATGCTGTGTGGTGGAGTTGCTAATGCTATTGGCTAGTTGAGACGTTCCTGAATGCTAAAACAACGACAGCCTTCCCTGGCACAAGTCAAGATAGAATTGAATTGCCTCTGTGTGTGAAACGTGCTATTCAAATAAAGCAGCCTTGCTGCCGATTGTTTTCTAAATGGTTTCAGTGGTTCTTCAGCCATAAACTTGAACAACCTCACATTGCACAGCACTCTGCAGCCCTCTGCTGGCCAAACACTGCATTTCACATTTTCTAGTTCGGTTAGCAACACTGATGGAAGGATGCAGCTGGTGAATTTAAACAGCTACTTGTGTTACCCCTTATAATTACTGTCACACATCAAAAATGTCAAGTCTACTTTAGTACCTGAAGTCCAGAGAGGCACATTTCTGGGACATCTCCACCATCGTGTGCTTTGAGCTTAGAAATTTCTGATTTCATTTTATTAGGGTCAGTTGTCCTTATCAGCGGTCCAAAATCTAGAAGAAGAGGAAAAGGACACATCACACTCAGTCCAGCTTATAACTTAAAGTGTTTCTGACACAATCCATGACCACTTTAACCTGATGTACCAGGAAAAAAAATAAAATTGAACCGCACTGATTTAGTAAGTTTGCTGACAAAAACATGATCACTTATTTTTTATGATAAGTTTGTCGGAACAGTGAAACAGAAAAATTACCAAAACTATCCAGAAAAATATATTTCTGAGAATTTTTCAATTCATTTGAATGAAATATGAAATAATCAATGATAACTCATGGCGACTATGCCACTGGAGTTCAGTGCTCGCCACGTAATCAGAAGGTTGCAGGTTCAAGCTCCACTCAGTCTGTCGCTGTGGTTGTGTCCTTGGGCAAGACACCTAACCCCCCTTGCCTGCTGGTGGTGGTCGGAGGGACCGGTGGCGCCTGTGCTCGGCAGCCTCGCCTCTGTCAGTGCGCCCCAGGGCAGCTGTAGCTACACACCATGGGTGAATGACTGATTGTGTAGTAAAGTGCCTTGGGGGGTTCCAGGACTCTAGAAGGCGCTATATCAAATACAGGCAATTTAAGTATTTCATCCTGTTGCAAAAAGTAATTTACTACTTGGTGGCAAAGACTTTGCTGGCGGTCATAGCGGTCCAGTGTATGTTGTGTCTGGGATGGATTGTGTCCTACTCCTCTTTAAAGATCTTCTCCAAAGTCATCAATGATTTGTAGATTATGTTTACAACTGTAACCTTCTGCTCCCTCCACAGAGACACCAGAAGATTGACTGGGCCACTCCAAGACCTTAACATTCTTCTTCTTGAGCCAGTGCTTTGTTTCATTGGCCGTGTGCTTTGGATCATTGTCTTGCTGGAATAGTCATCCATGACTCAATGCTCACCCAAGATTTGACAGTACATGGCCCCATCCAACCTCCTCTTGATGCAGTTTTCCTGCCTCCCCTGGTAGAAGAACACCCTCAGAGCATGTTTCCACCTCTTAATTTGACTGTGGGGGCAGGATTCTTGTAGTCACGATGAGCAGCATTCCTCCTCCATACTTGGTGATTTGAGCTGATGCCAAAGACCTGGATTTTGGTGTCATCTGACCTCAACACTCTCACCCAGTCCTTATCTGAACCACTTAGATGTTCAGTAGAAAACTTCAAATGGTCTGTTCACTGGCTTTCTTGAGCAGGAGGGCTGTAGGATTTATGTCATTCATGTTCGAATGTGTTAACCACAGTTTTCTTGTTGACTACGGTCCAAACTGCTCTGATATCTTCAACTTTCTCCCGAGTGGTTCTGGACTGGTTCCACATTATTAGTGAAGCTCCACAAGGTGAGATCTTGTGTGGAGCTTGAGACCAAGGAAGATTGGATGATATTTTGTGATTCTTCCAGCTGCTTGGTGACGATGTATCTCCATACTCCTGTCCTTTTCATTCTTGGAAAGCTCTTTGGTCTTAGTCAAGGCACGATGCCTGGAATCTGGATCGACGAACAACTTGTATCTTGTCTTGTAACCCACCTCCTCCGCTTGGCGTTCCCTGAACGTGTTTGAATTTGGTCCTCTTTTATATTGATTTTCTTTCCCTGTTTTCATTGGTCTCTTTATCCCTTGTTTTACCCATTTGTCCTCTACTTTAATGTTTTACCTTTTTTGCACAGTTTGAATAGCTTTTATTTTCGATTTATTCATCATGTTTCACATTTCTCATGCACCATGTTCAGCGTCTTGGGCTTCCCGACAGGGTCGCGGAAGGTGTTTTATAAATAAAGCGTTGATTGATTGATTGATGATTGATTGATTGATTGATTGATTGATTGATTGATTGATTGACTCATTTCTTTCATACAGATGAGTTGAAAAAGCTCCCAAAATCAGTTTATCTCTATAAAATAAATCTTGACATTGGAAATCTTGCTTATTGATTAGAGATCAAACACTAAATGAATTTAAGAAATTGCAAATAGAATTAGAACTTTTTTCTGGATAGTTTTCAGTCACCGTTCTGTCTCTAAATATTTAAATAAACCAACCACAGAGATTATAGAGGGATAATTTCTTTGTTAGTGGGCCGACTCACAAATCCAGAAGGGGTTCAGTTATTTCCCCTGACTATACCTCATTCTACTGTTAGTGTTTAGGTTTGTAGAAAGGTCCTTTTCTGTCTGGATCCTCTCCAGCTAGCACACATTAGTTTCCTGGTTCTTTACTTCCAGGGGAGGAAGTCCGGTAACACTCAGTTCCTGGTACACTTCAACAAAGGACCCTTATTCAGTAGGTTGGTTTTAAACTTGATCATATAGAAATACCATAGAAAATAGTACAAACAAGACAATGTGACTCGCTGAAGCCACCCCTGAATGCTCAAAGACGCTAGCTTTTATCTTTAGCTTGGCCCTCCCCATTTGGTTACATCATGGTACATTTGTATTGGATCAGTACATGGAAATGTGTCAAGACCCATGTGTGTCATGAATCTGATCCTAATGAACAACATGTGGAAATCATGCTGCATCTAGTCTGATTGTGTAAGAACAAACACTCCAGCATACTTTGTGTGCAGTTAAATAATGGAGATTATCATTGGTATAAAGGCTACAACGTGAAGTGTTCACATTGCCAATGGTTTTCTATTGAAGTAGGACTGGCCATACCGGGATCATTGAAGGGCACAAGGATATACTCCGATGGTTCATCCTGCGTTCCGTTTTTGCTGTCGATGATTTCATAAACCACCGATCTGGCTTCTTCTATGTCATCTGACATACTGCCGGTGGTGTCAATCACGAAGGCCACGACAGACGAGCGTGCAATCCCCATCATCCTAGAGGAAAAAGCCCATTCTTTTATCACAGCCCCAACCCTGACTGCTACTTTTTACTTTAATTTTTATATCAATACAACACCAAATCACAAGAGTTGTCTCAAGGCAAACATTCCAATTGAGTTCAGTTCATTTTGCCAATTAGTTAAAAGTTTCTTATATATCGGGTCAGGGATGAGGTCCTGCCTCAAGTGGAGGAGTTCAAGTATCGCAGGGTCTTGTTCACGAGTGAGAGGAAGATGGAGCGTGAGATCAACAGGTGGATTGGTGCTGTGTCTGTGCGGGTCTGTCGTGGTGAAGAGAGAGCTGAGCCAGAAAGTGAAGCTCTCGATTTACCGGTCAATCTGCGTTCCTACCCTCACCTATGGTCACGAGCTTTGGGTAGTGACCTAAAAAACGAGATGACAGATACAAGCGACTGAAATGAGTTTTATCTGCAGGGTGGCTGGGCTCTCCCTTAGAGATAGGGTGAGAATCTCGGTCATCCGGGAAGGGCTTGGAGTAAATCCGCTGCTCCTCCACGTCGAGAGGACGCCTCCCTGGTGAGGTTTTCCGGGCACGTCTAACCGAGAAGAGACCTAAAGGAAGACCCAGGACACACTGGAGGGTCTATATTTCTCAGTTGGCCAGGGAACACCTTGGGATTCCTCTGGAGGAGCTGGCCCAATTGTAGGGCTGCAACGATTCGTCAACGTTGTCGACAAAAATCGACTATTGAAATAGTCGACAATAAATTTCATTGTCGACGTTGTCGCCAGGTGTGTTTTTTCAGACCGAGTGAGGCATCTCACTTCATTTCATTACAATCCCTGCCGAGAGTCGCACGTGCACAATAGCTTCTCTGCTGAGCACCAACTAACAGAAATGGCGGCGTCCAACACCGCAGCTACGCGTACCAAACCATCTAAAGTTTGGGAGCATTCTAGCCGGGATTCGGCGAATAAAAAGATGACCTGCATTATTTGCAAAGCAGTCCTCGCGTATCACGGCAGCACCTCGGTGATGCATGAACACTTAAAGAGAAAGCACGTCGGACAGTTGAATGAAACAGAGTCTGACTCGCCTCGGAAAGATTTAAATAACATGAAAGCCAACACGTTTTGTTTTGGATGGACATTTTGTTAAACATATTTTCACTTTTATGAATAGAGATTTAATGTTGTGCCTGACAAAAGTATTTTAATTTTATTTATGCATTTATGTCTGTACTGACTGAGTACTGTGCCCAATTGGTGTTAGACGGCTTTTTTATTTACTTTAGTATGAATCGGCCTATCAGCAGCAAAGTTCAATAAAATGCATTTTCCATTAAAGTATCCATCTTTGTTGTGTTTATTATCATTTTTCACATAATTAAAGCAATCTCATGGTAAATTTAAGAAATATTTAATCATCCGATTAGTCGACTAATCGTTTCAATAGTCGGTGACTAGTCGACCATTAAGCTTGGTTTATGCTTGACGCATTCACTTTCCGCTTGGTGATGCAGCTCGCGGATGGAACGCGCTTCACAACTTGCAGCGTTTATGGTTCGTGCGGCTTGTCTCTGCGGCGAGCCAATATTCTCCCAAACTGTAGGGGGCAGCATGGAGCTCTACAGCATGCATCCAACACTACACCATAGTAGAAGTAAAAATTACTGTTGTTTACAACATGGCATTCCAGCATTTTTAACAGCGTCCTCGTCTTTTCCGACAGTGCGAGCTATTTCTCTCCAAGAATTATTAACAACATGTTGATCACGGTGATCTCTGAGAGCTGAATCATACAAATGTCGGTATTTACGAACCTCTGCCATACTAGTTCTTGCCGGTCCGCCATGTTTTTCCGCGTCCAACCGTCCGCATGTTTAGAAATTTTCCTAGGTGCGCGTTGTGGAAATTTTGGGCCGTGCGGAGACGCAGTGGAGGGGCGTGGTTGTTAAAATGATGCAATTTCGCCCCGCGGAGCCGTGCGGAACTCGCGGATGCGTCAAGCATAAACCAACCTTTAAAATAGTCGTTAGTTGCAGCCCTACCCAAGTGGCTGGGAAGTAAGTAAGTAAGTAAAACTTTATTTATATAGCACTTTTCACAGATAAAATCACAAAGTGCTTCACAACATACATAAAAAGGCAAACAGGACAGGAGCACAAGGTCAACTTACATAAAAGCTTGTCTAATAAAAGTGTCTTCAGCTACTTTTTAAAAGAATCAGCAGAGTCGGCCACACGAAGAAGCAAGGGCAGGGCGTTCCAAAGTCTGGGAGCTACAGCTTGAAAGGACAGGTCCCCTCTAGTTTTAAATCTGGTCTTAGGGACCTTCAGTAGGTTTTGACCCGAGGACCGTTGAGTGCAGCCAGAAGAGTGAGGGATTAAAAGTTCTGATAAATATTGTGGAGTTTGTCCATTAATAGCTCTAAAAGTCAAAACTAAAATTTTAAAAACAATTCTGAACTTGACTGGTAGCCAACTTAAAGAAGATAAAACTGGTGTTATATGAGCCTTTCTATTGGTTCCTGTAAAAAGCCTTGCTGCAGCGTTCTGGACCAACTGGAGATGACTGACATCTGATTTGTTAAAACAAGTAAAGATAGAGTTACAGTAATCTAAACGAGAGGAAATAAAAGCATGGATCTCCAAGTCCGATTTTGAAGTAAAAGCTCTCAATTTGGACATGTTTCTCAAATGATAAAGGCAATTTTTTACTAAATGTTTTGAGTGGCAGCTCAAAGACATGGACTGGTCAAAATGAACACCAAGGTTTCTGAGACTGGTCTGGACTGAGGAGCTCAGGGAACTGAGGTGTTGTTTGATTAAAAGCACTTTCTGTTCAGGAGCAATGATCAGCGTTTCAGTCTTGCTTGAGTTCAACTGAACACAGTTACTGGCTAGCCAGTCCTTAATTCACTCAATGCAATCAAGTAGGTCAGCTAACTTGTTAAACTCTGTGTCCTTGATAGAGCAGTACAGTTGAATGTCATCCGCATATAAATGGTAGGACACATTTTTAAAGCTTTTAATAATTTCCCCAAGAGGGCAAATATATATAAAAGAAACAAAATTGGGCCAAGGACCGAGCCCTGGGGAACACCATGAAGCAAAGATGTGACTTCAGACCTAATCTTGTTTACATATAAAGAAAATGTTCTGTTATTTAAATAGGAAGAAAACCACTTAAGAACGGTACCAGAAAATCCTAAGTCATTGTGTAATCGATGTAACAGAATTTTATGGTCAACCGTGTCAAAAGCTGAAGACAAATCCAATAAATCCAGTACAGTATATTGGCCAGAGTCTGCCGCCATCAGTACATCATTAGATACCTTTAACAGAGCTGTTTCAGTGGAATGCATCTTACGAAAACCTGATTGGAACTTATCTAAAACATTATTAAGGTCCAGAAAAGTAGTCAGCTGCCCTGCCACCAACTTCTCCAGAACTTTAGCCAAAAAGGGGAGTTTTGAAATTGGCCTATTGTTATCGGGTTCAAATGGGTCCAAATTGGGCTTTTTCAAAATAGGGCTTAAGGCTGCTTGTTTGAAGTAGCTTGGAACTGACCCAGTAGAAAGCGAAATGTTAAAAAAGTTTGGCGATGTGTGGGCCAACAACATCCCAAACTTTCAAGAGCAGTGATGAGGGAACTACATCTAATGGGCCGGAAGACGGCCTCATCTTTTCCAGAGCAGTATTTATGTCCTCCACAGTAATGGGAATAAATCAGGACCACAAGCATTCTGAGTGACCAATATTAGAATTTAAGACAGGGGACGGAGTAATACTAGCCCTAATGTCATCAACTTTTTTTTTTACAAAAAAGTTAAAAAATCTGTTGCAGTCCCCAGTAGAGAATACAGGTACCATGGAAGCTGGCGGTGAAACAATTTTACTGATGGTGTCAAACAAGAATTTAGGATGTTTTCTGTTCATGTTGACAAGGTTAGAAAAGTAAGAAGATCTGGCCTGTTTAATGAACTCGTTGAGCGATGAGATCAACTCTTTTAAATGCAATCTGTGGACCTCAAGTTTTGTAGATTTCCACAAACGTTCCACCTTACGGCAATACCTCCTAAACAGCTTGATGTTTTCATTCATCCAAGGGATAGGGTTTTTAGAGAAAATATTTGTTCCCTAACTGGGGCAATCACCGTGACCATCAAAATTCAGAGCAGAGGCCGAGCCTAACACAGGCGCCATCATGCCATGTGGGTGTGGGTGCGGTGTGGAAAGAGGGAAGTCTGGGCCTCTCGGCTAAGGCTACTGCCGCCGTGATCCGACTCCAGAGAAGTTGAAGAGAATGGATGGATAGATAACCGCAGCAATTTCCTTACTTTGGGATTTCTCACACATATGACAATTAACCTTTCTGATTCTGACATATAATGAACCCGGCAGATTGCACTGACTTGCTGAGTCAGAGACTTTACAGCAATCTCCATACTAAGCAAGCATGTAGCGACCGTGGAAAGAAAAACTCTTCTTTAACAGGAAGAAACCTTCAATCTCATCCTGTTGTACCTGAGAAAGTCCTGGTCCCCTGCTGCTGAGCGGATGTCCTCCAGCAGCTGGAGGCTGGCCGCTGTGGCCAAGTTGACAGCAATGTCATGGAAGGCTGCATTGTGTGGATTGCGCTCGTCTTTGTTGATGCCTCCACGAGGGGCTCTTGTGCTGGTGTAATCAGACCCACCTCCATGGCTACACTTGCCTAGTAAAGCACACAAGGGTAACAACAAACTGATGAAAACACCTGCAGTCTGGGTCTTCTGATCCAAAGTGGTTCAGAGTTTAGTTAATCTGTTTTGTCTTGTGGTTCAGTTTGTTTTCCCTCAGAGAAAACGGCAAATTAAACACAAAGCATCACTATTGACTGTACGTGAATGTTGGAAAAAGGTTTTGAAGTGAATTATACAACAGACATAACAGACACATTAAAGATGTGAGGCATCTTACCTCGAGGTTTAGCAGAAGAGAAAATTCCCATATAGCCCGATGTGAGAATTTTGTCCCTCAGGATGTTGGGGAGGATCTGATTAGGACATTGTCCACTGACACAGTCCCTACAGGTGGCAGTGCTCACATCTATAGAAAAAAGTTAATGAACAATGATGGCAAGTCCTTGTTGGCCGTTGTATCAGGCTTACCCGCTCAGGTCCTGGTTAGCACAAACATCTAATTAGCCAATTTGATTTCAGTTGTTGGTATCTCTAAAGAACATTTATGTACAGACGTAGCAGAACGTAAAGAAACATGGATGACGCAAAACACAAAATGTAATCTCTGGTGTGGGTCAGGTCGAAAAGTTCAGTTCACGGCTGTTCCAACTGTACCAAAGCTCCAGCCATGCAACCTCTCAATGCTGCAGATTCATGAAGGTCCTGGATGAGACCATGGTCAACAGCCAGGTCGGTGGTGGTACAGTGGAAAGAGGACACACCCCTGAGTGGATATCTCTCGTTTTGTTTTGTTCAGTGCTCTAGATGGAATAAGAATGAACAGCTCATGGTGGCTCAAGGGTTATGGGCTCGACACACGGGAGGCGACATCGCCTGTCCTCCATTCATTTTCAATGAGACATACGTGACAAAGCGATAATGGCGGGTCTCCCTCCTACTAAGCGAAACGCGAAAAACGTGCGTGTGAAATTTTGCGCTCGTGCACGTGTCGTGTACAGGCGACCCAGCGACGCGATCCCAGAAAGTTGAAATATTTTCAACTTTTGGTCGCTGTCGCTCGGACGTCGACCAATCAACGGAGGTTTCATTCACTGACCAAAGAGCGGACAGGATGCTCCGTACACCTCCGAGCAAACATGGAGGAGAAGTTGATTATTATTATGTTTTATAGTAAAATCAGAAGTAAGATTTCACATAACTCTAGCAGCACCTTGTGAAACATCATATCTACCGCTTTATTAACTCTGAACCGCTTAAATAACCTTAATTCCCTCCAACCTGACACAGCCAAACAAAACAACGGAAGTTTAGATTTCGCCATGGAACAGAACGCGTAGACGGCTTTGCCGCTGGCCGCAGGTCGCCTCCCGTGTGTCAGGTAATAAAAGCGACAGTGACGAATTTCGCTGATTGCGGTCGTTTGTCGCCTCCCGTGTGTCGAGCCCCTTAGAAGTTCACCCTTTAGTCTATGGGTTGCTGGTTTGAACTCCAGCTCCATCCGTGTCCATCTGTTGGTGTTGGTTAGGGAGAGCGGTGGGGTTTGTGTGGCAGCATCTGTTTAGTCAGTTTGCTGTGTCCACAACATACCTTATCGGTGCGTGAACGTGTACATGAAGGGGTGAAGGAGTGTAAAGAGCTTTGGGTGCCTTTGAATCAGACAAGCACTGTAGAAAAACCACCCTGGGCCTGTACGCGGCCGGGGAGTTAGAGTCCTCTTTTACTAACTCACATCTTTCCTCAGAAAGCAGCACTTTCACTCACGTACCTGCCAGGTTTTCCAGGGGAAGATCCGGCCGTATGAGGCTGATGTATGGCTCTTTGTATCCCAGCTCCACCCAGTTACTGTGGCTGTAGAAGTCCTGATAAAACATGGAAACCAGGATGCCGTTCAAAATGTGTCACGATAATATTTATGGGCTAGTTTTTATCACGTGCAGCGCTTTGGGTTTCTTCTCTAGTTGTAGTACAGCGCTACGATGATGAGGGCGATGAATATTAAACGATAGGCACAGTTTTCATCGAGATTCGCCTCTCCAGCTCCAGGAGACCTGACATGAACATTTTTCACTTTGATTGCAGCTTTTAAAAACTTTTGATTAGCTAGGCAAAGGACTCTGGGATGTAGGGATAGACTGATGTCTCAGTTTAGCCATTGTATTATATATCAGCATCAGCCAGTACACCTCTTTAGTATGTTGGCTTTCCTTTAAAATCAGGCACATCTGCAGATATCCAGATGTTAAGTCTCAGAAGTGATGGGTTGGTGCTATGATGCTGTTCCTGTCAGGTCCTGGAAGCTTTCAGACACAGTTTAGAAGAAGATGTTGTCATGAATTATTAGGAAAGTGAAAGAAACGTTGAATACATCGTAGATGTTGCTAGTGTGGAACAGTGTCAGTTTATTTTTTAAAGGGCTGGAGACAAAAACACGAGGCCCCCTGGACTGCTTTCGGTGTATATGGATATAAACACTTCCAGATTTGATCTTATTTTCTTCATGCGTCGACATCATCCTCACCTGGAGAGTATGAAGGATCCTCCCCAGAGTTTCCCTGGCAGCCTTGAAGTTCTCCTTTTGAATATTAGCCTTAATAGCCATCATGCCTTCCATGATCAGACCGCGTCCCTCTAAGAAAGCTTCAGAATGGAAGTGATGTGGAGCACTGAAAAATGTTTCCCACATGTAAACATTTAGTAAATCAAACCTCACGCATTTAATGGTCAGCATTTACTCTCATTCTGTCATTGTTCATGCTAGTTCTTCTATACCTCCTGAGAAAGTCGAGGTCTACCAGCCCGTTCTGAACTGAGATCTCTCGGAGTGCCATGAAAAACTTGGCGCCGGACACGTCTCCTTTGACATCATCACCCAGACAGGCCTGGACGAGCTCCTCTGGAGATGGTTCCTGGATTACAAAGTAAATAAAATAATTGTAGATTAAAGAACAGATGCACCATAAAACATGCACCATAGAAGAAGAAGAGGAAGAGGAGGAGGAAGAGGAAGAAGAGGAAGACGAAGAAGAGGAGGAAGAGGAAGAAGAAGAAGAAGAAGAAGAAGAAGAAGAAGAAGAGGAAGAGGAAGAAGAGGAGGAAGAGGAAGAAGAGGAAGAAGAGGAAGAGGAAGAGGAAGAAGAGGAGGAAGAGGAAGAGGAAGAGGAGGAGGAAGAGGAAGAAGAAGAGGAAGAAGAAGAAGAAGAGGAAGAAGAAGAAGAAGAGGAAGAGGAAGAGGAAGAGGAAGAGGAAGAAGAAGAAGAAGAAGAGGAGGAAGAGGAAGAGGAAGAAGAGGAGGAAGAGGAAGAGGAAGAAGAGGAGGAAGAGGAAGAAGAGGAAGAGGAAGAGGAGGAAGAGGAAGAAGAGGAGGAAGAGGAAGAGGAAGAGGAGGAGGAAGAGGAAGAAGAAGAGGAAGAGGAAGAAGAAGAAGAAGAAGAAGAAGAAGAAGAGGAGGAGATGTACGGAGCATCCTGTCCGCTCATTGGTCAGTGATTGAAACCTCCGTTGATTGGTCCTCATCCGAGCGACAGTGATGAAAAGTTGAAAATATTTCAACTTTCTGGGATCGCTGGGTCGCCTGCGCATGACACGTGCACGAGCGCAAAATTTCACACGCACGTGTAAAGGATGGGTCGTTTACATCTTACTTATGAACCATAAAATGTGAGATTCCATAGAAATATGAAATATCAATCTGATGGATCTTTGAATATTTTAACCAGAAGATCAGAACTTTTTATTGCAGGGATTAAGCGACACTTCGTATTAACTCCCAGGAAAGAGAGAGAGTCAGGTTTATAATAGTTAAGAAATTTATTTCTACACAATTTAAACAAGACTAACTTCAACACTCTGTGTACTGATGGACTAAGGTGGAGTGAGACGTGATGAATGATGATGGTGTGTGTGTGGAATGTTATTCAGAACCAGCGGATCCGGAGAAGCAGTTAGTTCTGAGTGGGAGTGAATGTTTCGCTCTAAACTTTAGTAGGAGATTTATAACACACATGAAACGCCATCTGTCGGTCTACGTACCCCAGGGGAAGCCTCCGTTTAGATCCAGAATGTCGAGGTCCTCTTGGACCCTCCTTGGTACCGAAGCCAGTAGAAAAGCAGCGGTGCCGACCAAACTGGTCTTGGAATGCTTCCAGGTCAGGACAGGTTACCATTGGTGTCAGCGAGACCCTGAAGGGGTCGTGAGGTTCAGCTTTTATTCTGAAGGAACCGTTGCGGTCAGGTGTAACTTGCAACAGATTTTATCCAGCTTGTCGAGGTTCTTTTGGCTGAAGAGGAAGTCCGGATGGCCAGTCCGAGACTTCTCTAGAACACTCGAACTAAAGAAAAGGTGGCGTGGGATAGTTTTTATAATTGTCATATTTTGGTTTACTGGCGAATCAGAATTTGACATGAAAAAGAGGGTTTATACAAACACCACAGATAACCACGCCTCGCATCAGAAACGAAGGTTCTGATTGGATCAGACAAAAGGAAATGTGTCGTGTGACTTTAGCATTACGTGTCATCAGTGTCTGGTGGAAATGTCCAGGATTATAATAACTTGTAAAATACTACTGATCACAGGATTATGATATCAAGTAATAACATTGTCATTTCACAGATTGATTGAACATTGGGCTCACATTATTATTGGTAATAACAAAGTAATTGATTATGTATTTATCAAAATGGTTCTTGTCTTTGCTGTAACAGAGGTGAAGCAGTTCAGATGAGCAGAGTGCATGAAAGACCTTGGCCACTATCTCATGTAGATTAGGCTGTCAGAGACTTTATGTCTCTGCTCGAGCAGACGCAGCAGATCATGACCTTTAGGTCAAAAACAGGACGCTACACATGTTTTTCGCATTTCGCTTAGTAGGAGGGAGACCCGCCATTATCGCTTTGTCGCGCATATCTCATTGAAAATGAATGGAGGAGAGGCGAAGTCGCCTCCCGTGTGTCGAGCCCACTATGCAGCGAAGATCTCACAGTGGCCTTGATTTTAGGCGACAAAGACAATAAGCAAATATAGTTGATTAGGGGGTGACTTGCACTGTTAATGGCAAAAGCTGGAAGATTTTAAAATCCTTACATCTCTAGGGTCTTTTCAGATGAAATGTTGTCTCCATGAAAATGTAACAACAAGAAGGATCCGTGTTTTGTTTTGGAGGCAAATACTAAGAAACGTATTTGTCATTTTTGTGGTGAAGGCCAGAGAAAACCCAGGAACTTTGTGTGAGGTTGGTTATTTCCTTGTTCTAACAAAGTGTTGTTAAAAATCTTACACCGCTGGAATTTTGGTCTAATTCCCTTAAAATGGAAATTCAAAAAGCATTTGTGGGTTGAACACCAGAGCTTAGTATGAGAGTTGCACCATGGCAAACACACGCAAGCTTCTCTAACAGTGACAAAAAGCCATCTTTGTGACAAACTCTTGTTTAGCGTCTGATGCCATCGGCGTTCAGTGGGGTGAAGGTCAGGAATGCAGACAGGACATTCCATCCTCTCCACTTTCACATTCTGAGGTCTCTGATGAACCTCACTTTGAAGAGGCGCCACATAAATCGT